TTAGCCAAATGCATGGAACAAATTCTCTCCCATTCAGTGGACTACTGCTTTGGGATCCAGAGCACTGCACTTTTATTTCCTGCTTAGGTGGGGGGAGGGGGGTTGGTCAGGTTAGAGATGGGTATCTGGCCCCCATCTCTGGTTTTGCCAAGGAAGCAGAGTCTGGCAGTTAGCAGAAGCAGAAAGGCTTTAAAAGAGATCCCTGAGTACTCTTCACTATAGTCAGCTGGGCGACAGAGCAGTTGCAGGAGTATCTACAGTATTCTCAGCTCTGTCCCTGTTGCAATGAAGCTGCAGCTCTCTTTTTTCCTGCCTCCCAGATCAAGGACTGCGATGCTACCCTTGTGCCAAGATAGCTGCCTTCTTGGCCCGTCTTTGTCAATCAAGGGCAGTGTGACTGAAAGCCTTTCTCTCGCCAGCCTTCCCATCCCTTGCCAAACCAGGTGTCAAACCAACCAAATAACTTGAATCATGGGAACCCTTTGTATTAAGAATGTCAGAAACAATTTTGAGTTTCATAGTATTATGAATTTGCCAGAATGAGAATATGGGAAGGATTATGGCTTACTCCCGGAGTGGGATCGCATACTATAACCCAGGCCCTGCTCCTGCAGAAAACACAGTCTTTACCTGAAATGTCTTGCATTTTACAAACCCTCTCCCCGCTGCCCTTCCCCAAGAAAGACAACATTATTTGGTTGCAATGTTTAAAGTGCCTCCTGTGTTACCATTGAACTGCCTCATGAACCCATCGCTTTCAGAAGCATTAAAACCCACTTTGTGAAATGGTGCAGCAGTACATTCTGCCTGTCACCTACAGTTTTGCAGGAATTACCTCCTGGGTTGAGGGGGCAGGGAGAGAAGGTGGTAATTCTCCAGAGATGTATTAGGAAGAGTCCAGGGGTCCTGTAGGATCTGTAGCCAGAATTAGAATCCAACCCCCTTCCTGCCTGCCAGAGTCTGCTTCCATGTCAAGAGTAGGAAAGCCTTAGACATGCCGGTATTATTAGACTACAATTCCCATCATCCTTAGCCATGCGTAGTAAAACCAATGGAATTTGAAGCCTAAAAACATTTGGAAAGCCATGGATCCCCCATCTTTATTCTGCATCAAATCACTGGTATCCTTCTATGCCAGTGTTTATCAAACTCAGCAACTTTGCTGTCTGGGGAATTCTGGGAGTTGAGATCCACACCTCTTAAAATTGACAAGTTTGAAAAACACTGCTTTATGCCATCCTTTGCCAATCTGGTGCCCTTTGACAGATGTGATGGACATTGACGCCCAGACTTCTGAGCCAGTACAGTCAACAGCTGTGCTGGCTGGGAATAGCCTCTATTTTGAAGGCACCAAATTCAGGAAGGCTGTTCTACTGCTTTACTGCAACTCCCCATAAATCTTTGCTAGATTTTTTATTTGCACATTTTCTAAGAAAGAGAAAAAAAAACTTGTGTAAATATACACATATTCACATATCTAAATATCCAAAAGGAACAGATCCTTAGCTGTCGTAGAAAGCTTCCTACTTGTCTATTTTTTAAAAGACGCACTTATACAGGAAATAGAAATATTTAATTTTCATATATTTCTGCAGATTGTACAAAAAAGGAAGAATATGAAAGAAATTACAGAATTTTATTTTGTGACAAAAGATATATTTTGTCTATATTTGTTTAAAATAACAATCCAATCTCATGAAATAGGGAATTGGAGTGCTTTTGAAATTGTAGGAATAGTATATGGGATGATCATGTAAGTGTAAGAAATAGCAGCGATTGGGGAAAAATGAATAAGATCTGGTAGGGAGGGGTGAACTGATCTGCATTAAGAATTGTGTGATTCATTTCATTTGCTGCATGTGGTTTGTTCTGTCTGTACCTAATACTGTTTTCTGGCGTGATCAGTTTTAAGGCTTCTGATGTGTTAACTGCAGCTTCACAGAACAGCTGTCAATCACCAAGCCAGGCACGACAAAATCCCTGCCTGAAAAGCTAAATAGAGCCTCCATAGTCAGATATTGTGTACCGTCATATACCAGCTGCTGTGGAACCAGTGAGGGAAGACTCTCATGCTCGATTTCTGAGTCCATAGAAAGCTTCTGAGCTGGTTGCCATTACAAACAAAATGCTTGGGCTGCATGGATCCCAGATCAAATTCAGCAGAACCCCTTAAATTATTTGTGTTTATTTTCAAGTCAGAAACACTATGCAAGATGCCGGTAGAGCACCACGGCTAATTAACACACGTATTTTTCATAATGCTCGGTTCAGAGTTTAGTGCATCCACATGCAGTTGTTAAGTATGCGAGCAAGTTGCATGCGTTTCTTTCATACTATTTTCCTTTTTTATTTTTATTGTGGGAGCTTTTATGCACCTTTGGTCATTTTGACTCTATGCAGCTAATGCATAAAACACGTCTGTTCCATATGAATTCTTCTTCAGCTTATCCCTTTGGGGAAAGTTCTTGTCCACTTTTCTTCCAGCTGCCTCCAACAGATCACTGACTCTTTTGACTGATTCGATATAAATGTAGCGTGCTATTATCAGGCTCTCCAAATGGGTGCCATTTTGAGAACCGCATTACAGTGTAAGCAAAAATAAATTTGTGACTCAGTATTAGAATAAAAGGCCATCTTTCAATACCTTTTTCTTCCTGTTCCTATTAATGTAGAACATAGTAACTAAAATCCCCTTTAAAAAGTGTGTTATTCTCAGGCGTAGCATCACATCCATCCCTAAAGTTAACGTTTACAGGACTATTTCTCCAGCTTGTTGCCACTCAGACTCAGTACAGAGGCCCTCTTTCATCCTCTTGCACACATGAGCCATTGTCGTCTTTGCCATCTTTTTTCAAGAATTTGCCTTCACCTTTAAACGCACCAGAAAGGTTTTTAATGAATTGATGAAAACCATGAGGAGCGCTGTGTTAAGAAGCAAAATATTAATTCATGAAGGAGCTCTGTGGGAAGGAAGTGATAGGAAAACCCAGAAATGGTCTAGAAGGTGAGGCCAGGTTGTCTGAACCAAAAAAAAAAAAAAAATCAGAGTCCAAGGCCAGATGTTCACGCCTTAACCGCCTCCTCAAATGTTTCTGCCCCACAGGGTGGATTCCTGTTGCAGAAGTTTCAGCTTGGTGGCAGAGATTGCTTTGGGTATTGCCCAGCCGAGTGCCATAGTTCACAAAACTCTGCCCTTTCTAACGCCTTTCTCTGCTGCCTGCAGTGACTCGGGAGTTTCTGGGCAAGGAGGGCAGAAAGCAGGAGGAGGAAGCAATGCTGCTTGGTGGTTTTGACCTGTGCCTGCCCAGAAAACTTTGCATTCACGCAGGGCTTCTCCCCCTTCTTTCTGTTTCATTTTTCAGAAAAAGGGTGGGAGGCAATCTCTCTGTCGTAGCCGAGTGAGACTGTAAGCCATGCGGCTGAGATTTTTCACGGGGTTGTTCACATCTCTAGCCAACCCTTTCCTCCTCCTCCATCCGTTCCCCACGTCTTCCTCCCCAAGTAACATTGCCGGGCCTTTTCACCCTCTGAGGCAGGCAGTCCCCATGTCTCATCCCAAAGGCACAAGCCACGAGGCAGGATGGAGACCTACGGCACGATGCTGATGGAGAGCTGAAAGCCAGCAAGATTTCAGTTGGTTTATCCAAGGCCATTGGATACTGACGGAGTTTGCCAAAATGCAGCCGTGGGATTTTTATCCCAGAGCAAAACAAACCCCAGTGAGATTTGCTCCTAAGGCAACCCCCTTAGTTGCCTTCTTCAAATAAGATTGGCAAGGAATTTGTGGACCTCAGTCAGTCATCTCAGTCGTCTTCTGTTCACTGCATTTGCCTGGAAAATTTCTGCCTGCTTTCCTGGCACAGATCCATCTTGGTACAGATTTTTACACCCCCTTCATCTTCTCTGTATTAATTTGCCAGCCAGGGCTGAATAATGTAGCCAAGAATCCAATACTGTCGAATCTTAAATTTAGATAGAAGAAATGAAACAGCGTAGAAGATTCAGATGAAAAACTGTTAACAAAGATTAGTTCCGAGAGTAAAATAAGCGTGCTTTGTAATCTGGAGATTTCCAGCCACTTCCACCAGCATCCGTGTGCAGGAGAAGCCCGAGACTTGCCCCACGGTCTGGTCCAAAGCAAAGGATTTTCAGACACCAGCTGCCGTCGTTCAGACGCTCCCAGCCTGTGAAAGCGCTGAGTTCTTTTCTTCCCCTTGCAGATGGAGGGAGAAAGGGCAATCAGCAATCTCTGCTCAAGGCCAAGCATGCCCTGGCAGAACACATTCATCACGCACCTATCAGGGCATGCAAATGCACACACACACACACCCCTCGTGTTGCCAGTCTTCCAACATAGCAGCTTGAACCCCAGTTGCCGGTATTCACTCAGTGTCAGGTGGTGTTGCAAAACTTCTTCGAATCCCATTCCTCTGTAATCAACTGCCGGTTATATATTGTCTGTAATTACTTTTCGTGTATGTGTGTGCGTGTGTGTGGGTATGCTCACTCTATCATGGAACACAGCAATAAATTGACCTTCCACCCAGATCAATGTGTCTTTGTTTATGAAGCTTAGCTGGTCTGAGGGAGGGGCGGAAGGACGGGCAGTTCGGCTTCTCGTCCTCCAAAGCAGCATTTCTCAAACTTGGCAACTCTAAGATGCATGGACTTCAACTCCCAGAATTCCCCCAGCCAGCAAGTTAAGGCTGCCAAGGTTGAGAAACACTGCTCTAAAGCAATCATTCACGAATTACGAAACCGAATGTGTGCAGGCACGGACAGGCACGCACACACCCATCACAACATTTCATGGAAGGATCCTGGAAGTGCTGAAAACAAAACCTGCACAT